CCTGATGCAGGGCTTGAACCCAGGAACCATGAGATGGTGACCTGAGCTGAAGTTGGATGCTTAACAGACTGAGCCACCGAGGCGCCCCTATCATTGATACTTTGTTAAATCTAAACTCCTTAGAATGAAACATAAGACACTTATGACCTGGCTCCAGCTTGCCCCTATCACCCATACATATATCTGTGCTTGTAACTTAAATGTTTCTTTCCAGCCACATGGAACAACTTTTATCTTGCAAGTTTGAATATTTTCATCCCTTCATCGTTGTACATTCACATTCTTTGCCTTTCTACTGACTTGCTTCCTTGAAATTGTGTCCACTTCTATCAGAGGAAATTAGAACCATCTAACTTTCTGTTTCCTGCACTGTCCTTTGAATTTTGTGTGATTGCAGGCACATCAAACCACATCTCTTGTAAATAAGTGCCATCCTCTACAATACAAATTTGGGAAATTAGATGTTCTCAGAGGTTTCTTCTATCACTAAAATGTAAGAAATTCCAGATATTCAAATAGGATATTTTCAAGGCAGCTATACCAAATACTGTTATAAAAATTAAAATGTGTATGCTTAAACTCTATATACCTTAATCAAAGATTCAGCATCTATAATCTAAGAATAGTCATAAAAATGCACTTAATTGTGGATAAAACCATTTGTTTTGTATTTAGAGGAAGCCAGTGTCACCTGATATTTGCTAACTACAAGGAGGACAGTTTTTAAAGAATAAATCCTATTAAATTTTTACTTTTATACCTCTAGCAGATCATCTTTTTGGCTATTTTTTAAATAAATGACAAGTGGTTTATTAACATGGCTAATTGACAAATGAATAAATGAATAGATACAGCCAGAGGCACCAATGAGTGTTATATACTAATGATTTCTCTTTATTATCAAATATCAATGGCAAAAAATAAACCTAATTACATATAAACTAAATACATGAGTACAGGGCAGTTGAGCAATTTTTTACTTCTAAATAAAAAGGCCATTCATTTAGGCATGGGGGAAAAAGTCAATTCTATTTTAAACAAAGAAATATTGTAAGAAAAAAATATAGGAAATAGTAAAGCCATTTTGAAAATATTAAGAGCTGGTAGCATTTTTTTTTCATAAATTCCAAAAACACAATACACAGTTTTTTGGCAAAATAGTGTGAAGAGGAAGAAATGTTAAGATGTGATCTTAGAGGAAATTGAAAACAGAAAATTGGGAAGAAGAAAGGGAAAGAAAAGAAAGTAGAAGTGAAGTAAAGAGATATGAGAACACGAGATAAGATGGGAAGAAGGAGACAATCATGTATGCTAAATTAAGGAGAAAGAAAAGATGAAAATGTAAAAAGAAGAAAGAGAAAATGGTAATAATATGAGATAAAGGTTTTTGAAATAACTAAAGTTTTACATATTTATACCTCCTCTCAAGGCACTGAGCATTTTAATGAAGGGTTTCTTTTTCATTCAAAAAGTAATATGTGTGTATATACATACATATGTACACACACACATATA